CAGACCTTTCATCTTAACGAACGAAGTAATTTTCGTTCGAAGTCCCGAGCGCAGGGCCGCTATAAAAAGAACGAAACTTGCGGGGGAGTATACCGGAGAGAAAAACGAGTTTTCTCGTCGAAAACACTCCATGCTTTCCCACGTCCGAATCGACGAGTACGCGAAGAACCACCGGCTGTAAGTACTGATCCAAAAATAGCATCGCGCGATACTGTCCATAAAAATGAAAAGTAATCGATGCGCATTGCAATGTCCTTATGGACAATGAGTTATGTAATTCTAAAAAAAGACGGCAGTCCTCAATTATTACAAAGTGCCAGTGTATAACTAAACTCGAGACTAAAATAGCCGTGTCGTTCTACGACAAACAGTATAATCGAAGGACGAACATGACAAACAAACAATGGATAAACATATAAACTGGAATGCAGCAGTCATTTGCGTATATTAAGACTTAATATATAAATTGAAAAAGAATTATTTATAAAATACAGTAAATTGTTTTAAAATTAAAATCGAATTTTAAATCTAATAAATTATTTAAAATATAGAGACTGCGCGTCAACAGTAGACGAAGTACGAATATATTATAATAATAAATATATTATACTCTTATAATCATAAAATAAGAGTTAAATATATAATGAAAAAAATTGGATAATATTGTAATGAAAGAGGTTGTCAGATAGATTAAATATTCAACTATAAAATAACTTTGTTCATTCTAATAATGTAAGCATTCAGAAAATATATTTGACTTTTAAGTACCGTGTGGAAATGATGTGAAATTTCCTCGGGTTTATACATGACTCATATCCGGAGGAGTACGCGTGACTTTGAAATATTAATCGATGACCTAAAACAATACGTACTAGTAACGCTACTTTCAATTACTTTCACGTCAAACGCTTTCCTTTTCATAATAGAAACAATGACGAACTTATTTTATGGACGTGCCATTGTATTCACTATTTCTAGTATTAAAATAGCGTAACGATGATAGAGTAGAATGTTCTGTAATTTAAACCCACGCTTCGACAAAAAATATCACGTTCTCTTTAAATTAATCTTTCTTTAATGAAAAGTAGACTGGCGAAGTATCACGTCTCCTTCAACAATTTTTCATATTAAGTTCAAAATTACACGAAAATAAAGTAAAGAAACAAATATATTTCTAGCTTTACGTGGAAATACGAAAATAATTATACACCGCTTGCAGTAACTTTTACAGCGACGGTTCTTAATAAACCCAGCTGTGTCAAAAGACAGTGTAAATCTCTTTTTAATCTGAGGTCCTCAACGTTTACTTAATTTTATGAAAGCTCTCGTTTATCAACGTTACAAGGGCTTACCTTTATTTATTACCGTGACATCAAAATCAAGCTCTTTTTTTGTTAAAGAAAGCTCATCTTTTTAAAGAAACACGATACTTGAACCACATCTCTGTGCGCGAGGAAAAAGCAAGCGAATACGAGTTAATGAGGACATCCAAGTGACACGAATTGTTAGAGCGTGCAATTGCAATTCATGTTCGTGTTTGCTTTCAAAGTCGAGATCAGTATCGTTTCAACTTCTCTCTCTTTTTATGACAAAGCCTATGATGAAAATAAATTTAAATCAAGTTTTCAAAAGCATGATATATCAATATATAAAATCGATTACAACACACAAATAGTACTGCAATCAAAATTTAATTGACTCTTTTCAAAAGTTAATTAATAAATAGTTCTCTTTGTATATCACGTTATTATTTATACTTATATATTAAATATATATCTATATATATGTAACTAAATATTAAATAATGTGTAATCAAATTTATTATTCTCATGCAATTTTATTATATTAACATCAAAGTGCTATTGACAAGATTGGCGCCTCGACTGATTTGTGCAATCGCAGCAGGTACCATCTTCGTTATGTCCTAGTTATGGGGACCTGTTTGGGCCCAACTGCTCGTGTGTGTACACACCGTGCGCGCCGAATAACGAATGAATCATGCTGTGTACGCGAAGTGACGGCGGTTCACTTTCTCCCCTCGGTTTCGTCCTCAATTATCGCGAAGCGGGCCCCCGTGTAATTACACGGTGAGATGGGTCGGTAGGCCGCGGGCAACCAAGTGAATCGCGGATAACAATTTTCTTTTTTGGAGGATCCAGAGACCCCTTTCACTCGGCCCGCTGGCGCGAGACCCGGTTTCCTTTCAGACCAAGAAGGTAGCATTATTTTCGTTACACAAATGTTGCCAGACAGCTAAATATGACCCTGAATACATATGTACCAAACTTGGAGATGTAGGCAACATATTACATAAAACCATAAAAAAAAAAGTAAAACATTTTTAAGCCTTTATATAAAGTAACTCGCTAATAAACTTCATTGAACTTCAGTTAGTCGAAAATAACAGATTTAATGGACTTCAGTTAGTCGTATTGAAAAATTGCTAATAATTCTTTTTTGTATACAACCTTTAAATCTCATATTTATAAAAAATTTTTCTATCCAAATTAGCTGATATGACACTGAAAGTTCCGCAATAAATCATTGCAAAATATAAGTAGAAAATAGACGAAGGCAGTACACAGAGATACTTCGGTGCAAGCAAGCAACTGGTCTCCGATGTTTCGCAATCCGACGAACGTAAATCGCGGGATACAACAAAGTGGAGGAGACACCTGTAGGCGACACGCAAGTGACACGAGCACAATGGGCACACTTAGGCCAATTATGGCGCAATCGTAGTCACGTTACTTCTGGGAAGTCGTGACAACGATGCCGTCGAGAGATCCTCGCTGATACAATGTGCATAAATTTGTTTCCGGGACTCCAGGCTCCCACAACGCAGCGGCGCTCTGCCAAATACGTCTATATAAATCATCGTGTGTGCACTTTCGCACACTCGTATTCAGCTGATCTCGCGGAAAGCTGAGCGCAACAATGCACGAACCCTGCCATGTACATGCGTACGTTCAAAGGCAAACAAATTTGCATACAACCTTATACGAGAGATACCCCGTTAACCGCTAGGGGAGGAACCGCCATTTTTACGAGCGAGCCGTAACCCCTTCGACCCGGCCACTAAATGCCAAAGCATTAATATTAAATGTTCTTAGCTCTTAAGTTCGTTCTTAAGCCGTCACGAATTATGGGCTATATGCGTACTATAAAAATTTATAGAACGTTTTAACGTGCGCATAAGTTCGTTCATGAGAGACCTATGAAAATTACTTTATATTAAATTTTACGAATGATAAATTAAAAGATCGTCTCAAACGTTCCTCGATTTTATAGTCGCCTCTTTAGATCTACCATAATTCTATATCTGCAATATATGTATCAACAGATTATGTTCAAAACATATATCAATTTTAATATTATTTATCCTGTAATAATCAAAAAAGAGTTTCGCGACGAGTTTTAACATGAGAATTATGCATCCAAGGACTATGTATTGTACAAGTTTACCTAATATATTTTAATTTTTAACTAAATTTACCCATAAATTCAAATTTAATATTTCTCGACAATATGTACATTCGCAATGTCGAATTTTCACAGAGATTCCCAATTTATTTATCCTTTTCGAATGCGTACTACCATTCCAACGGAGAAGGTGTACAAGACATGTTTGACGACGGTGAAATTCAGATGCTTTCTGCATAATTTCAGATAAGAGGGTGACTCCATATGAAATGAAAAAAAGAAGAAAAGGAGAGCCGAGTAGACTTAAGAAGGGGGAGAGTGAAGACGAAGAGAATGACGAGTAAGAACATCCTGATGCCGTAAAGGAGCCGCGAAGGGGAAATGACTGGCAACGACGTACGGTGGTGTTGCGGCATCAGACAGTAAAAGTCCCAGAGAACAATGGATAAACGGAATGGTACAGCCGAGACCTTTCAGGCGATCGGGTAACCAGCAAAAATGCGCACAATACAATGGATAGGATCACGCCCTCCAACGAGTCTCCTCTTTCTCTCTCTAACCGCGACTACTTCTCATGAACATTCGTTTTCCACAGAGCGTAAACTCAAGCTCGATCGTCCACCCACCCATCCACCCATCCGACCGTAAAAGAGAAAAAAATCGAAAGAGATTAACGCTCGCTTATCCGGTGATAATTAGATTTCCTTCTGATAAAGATAAACAAATGATTTGATAGTCAAAGAAGCATTTGTAAAGTTTAGAAGCTCGAAAGTATGACTGCAAAGGGCTCTAAATATTTACGGAATATTATCGGCTCTTTTTAACTATTTTCTTGGAAAAGTTAATCTCACATCAGTATTGCCTACTTTGCTTAAAGATATTTTTATACACACATATCTTTTAAACTAATTATAATATATTCTTTAATTCAAACGAGAACAAATATAAAAATGTTCATTTACATATTTTCTGAAAAAAGTTTTTTCTGATTTTGATCTTTAATAAAAATATATTATCACGAAATTGATATTAATACGCATAGACAAATGTAACATTATATGTAGATTATAAAAGTCAAAAGACACAACATTAAATTTTTAAATTTTTCTTAGGCATCTAAACGGAACACGTGGCGTCATCTGTCACAAACGATAACAAACTGTAAGAGAATATGTCGAATGTCGCGTAGATAAAACAGTCGTTTTTTATATCGACTATACACGATTTCAACACAAATAGAAAAAAAAATTGCAAATATAAATAGAAAAGACCATTCGATATTGATTTCTTGAACACTATGTGATTACCGACAAGCACCAACCTACATCGGTTTACTTAAAAAATTACAATTAAAGTTTTATTTGAACTTACAAAATAAACAAAATAAGTTCAAACTCTTCGTAAAGAAACTTTTCTTCTAAATTCTTAATTTCTAATCATTTGGATACTCTGTTCCCTCAATATTTATTATCATTATTATCAAGCAGACAACGCATGCTGAGAACTTATCCATTTTAACAAGATGACAGAAAATATGGAAATCAATTTTGGAAAGAAATTTAAATGTCGTTAATAACTCAGTAAATAAAAGCTTTCCACTTACCTTGTAAATTGTCCAACATGTATGTCAGCAGCTTGTTCGTCCCTGCAGGCTCCCCATTCCCATACAACGTCATCACATCCTTGCTGAGTGGATTTCCTTGAAGTCCTAGCACTTGTAACTGGAACAACTTCCCTAATTCATACGGTAACACGCGAAGGAAGTTTTGGTTCAATAACAACTCCCTGGAATAGTATGACAATAGATTTATATTATGAAAAAATACATCAATCAAATATGTTCATTATTGAAGCAAAGATTTCTCCATTTACTTTCATCATTTAGTTTCTGTTATATCATACCTGAGATAGATGAGCTCCCCTAGTTCAGCAGGCAGACTGCGTAGCTTGTTGCTACTCAGATCTAGAATACGTAAGTTAACAAGACGGCCGATCTCAGATGGCAACCTCTGCAGACTATTATCGTTCAGATACAGAGCTGTTAAATGAGTCATTTGCCACAAATTAGGGCTTAAATTTCGTATACTGCCTGTTATCTCCAACTCCGACCAATGAGATTTCTTCCCCGATTGATAGTCCTCAGGGCACATGAGTGTATACATACGACGTGGGTTGGAGTTCTCATATTTGTCCTTGTGATTGCGGGACATGTTAGATTCTTGAAAAAAGGAATAAAAGATTCTTGTTAAAATAGAAATACTGTATTTATGATCTGTTTCAATTCAAATGTCATATATTAGTATTTCTATAGTATATATATTTCTCAAATATAATTTTTTGACAGCAAAATGAAAGGATCTTTAAAAAAATAATTTTATTTTGCTACAGGTATTATCTGTTAAAATTGAAATAGTTGACATAAATATTCTCATACATCTTGATACTAGTTGTCAGACACTGGTGTATGCAGACAATATTGCTTTGAAGAAATTAAAACAGAAAAGACACGTATATCTGAGAAATACATAACAGGATCAACTTGAGATTAGTATTCTTGATAAGTCAGTCAATTAAAACAACTAGGCTAGTGCCTCAGTTTCATAAAAAAAGAGAACAGAGATGAAGCAATAAATGACTCTAACTGTACGTCGGACACGAGTAGATCTCTCAAACTCGCGAAATTAATGCTGGAGAACGATGTTAATTATAAGACAGCGGATTTTGTTCGCTCCGTACGACAGGCACATCAGATACAAGCTCATAACCTATGACGGTGAAATGAGGTTTTCGCGAGCCACGCTGGCTGGACGAGCCAGAAACTCAGTGATTTTGACGCGAAATGCGACGACGGACCAATCGGGGTTGGTCCGATCGCACGTAGATGCAAATTTCGCCAGGCGGTGGCGAGTTTTTTCAGCGTCAACCACTCATCCTGCCCGAGAAGGCTTGTACGCTTGCGAGGACGAGCCGACGCGTTCGACCGATTTCCACACCGTAGACGCGGCGGCGGCCGTCGAGAGCAGCGTTCCGCACACCCGACGATCGTTACGTACCTTCATCTACCCCTTCCGCACAAACGAAACGCACGGGGAGTTGTTACCGAGTGAAAATTTCCGCGTAAACAAAACTACCTTGACAAACACGGATCCTCCATTTATCAACTGCACCGATCGTGCGCCGAACGGAGCTGCCCGATTGGCCGAAACTTCCCGAAGCAGCCGACGCGACGTCGCGCCAACTGCACAAGACACGCGCGAGTGCCACCACAAGCGCACGCCTGCGCCGCTAGGGAAGATACAGCCTGGGATTCCTAGGGAAAATTCGCTTGACGGCGAGAGCCCTGACTTTCTCTCTCTTTCTCTTCCTGGCGCCACGTTCATGGCGAACTTTCTACTTTTCTATATCTTATCTTCTTCGACGTTCTTGATAGTTTCGATATTAACTAGCGATCAGCTTCAATATCTGCACTGTTTCATTAAAGACAAATAAAATTATCAACTCTTTCTCATATTACTCAACATATAGAAGAGAAAATTAAACTTGAGACAATGAGATTATATATAACTATATATTTAGAAATTTTATTAATTCGCCAGTTGAACTAATCGCTAATCAATTAATTAAAGTTCGATTAAAGTTGCCTTTAGAAAATGATTTTATTACGAATAGGACGTTTTCGGAAATAAACGATCCTTCGAAGCTTTCTATATTTTTAGTGTTTCCAGCAAAATCTAATAGATAACACAATAAATTGTATCTTTGTTCTATATGCCATTGTTAAATATGTAAAGATGAAAAATGATCACTGTATTATATTATATTTGCACTATTATATTTTTTGGAGAGTATCAACAATAAAGAGTGTAAAATGTACATAGTGATCTTTGTTACAACAATATACAACATGAATGTAATAATTCAATATATCGTATATTAAATTATATATATACATCTTTGTTGTCTGCTAAACATATAATTAAATAAGGATCGAATGATTCATTATATGAGTCTATTCTTTTCCCATATTTCAATTAAGATTAAACTTTTTACACGATTTATATTTTTGCTTATTTTTCTCTTCGCATTAAAAAAAAGGACAAAGGATAAACAGTATAAACTTGCTGAAAAATGGAAAGCACCTTTTATTATTTATATGCATTGTCGAAAGACCATTTTTCATCGAAGCGTCCATACATCTATTCTGACTATTTTACGTTCCCGAGCGATTGAATTCTAAATATGCATGATATTACGCATTGCTGGATAATATTTGAAACAGTAATCTGCTTGTTTATAAATCACAAAAAGCGTGATTTACTTGTAAAAAAGAGATTAGACATGAGCAATATACGATTCAAAAATACACAGAAGAAATATATACCTGGCAAAATAGTCACGAACTCGCGTTCCAACCGTAAAGTAACATGGCGTACGATTTCGATCGATTCCGAGGGTCACAAAAGCAAATCGCCAATGATCGAAATTGCGATGACATCGATCGTTTATGGTGTAATATAACAATCCAACACGTTACGACAAACATTTTCGATACTTGGCGTACAAGAAATTCGCTATCGGACGATAGCAATCGTGAGAAACCGAAGCGGCTCAAAATCAAATCCATCGAATCGCGGCGCGGCACGTTTATTACTGTTCAAAATCTATGAGGGCATCGAAGCGGCGTGAAGTTGTCGCAACACTTTAGGCCTGTTCTTTTTATTGAACGCTTATTTTGACGCTTTGACGGTTCTCATTTTTTTTCTTCCTTTTCTGTCCACAAAGAAGAGATATGTTCAGATAAAAATAAGGACAGACTTTTATAATATTATTAGATATACATACTCGGAATTTTTTTAAAGCGTCATTTACATTTAAATGATCTATTTATGATTATTTTAGATATATATCTTAAGATTTTGTTCGACTAATAGTAAAACCTTGGATTCGATTATTATATGTATCTTGAAACAAAAATTACAGGCCAGTATTCACATATAATAATTAGTTCTTATAATTAATAATATGATACGAATTTAAATCGATGAGAATAAATTATAATCTAATTAAGTGAGAGAAATCCTACATTCGATCAATGCGGATCTTTAATGCTTAAATATATTTCTATATAAATTTATATTTTATACCTATCTGATATTACAAACCGCGCGCAGAAATCCTTTTCAATCTTGAAACGCACAGTCTTGAGCTTATGTATATTTAAGATCAGCTTACAGCCTTTATATTTAATACGTTATAATAGCCAAATAGAGCAGTATCAGCATATATTAAAACATTGCTTAAAACAATTTTGAAATAAAAATTGTAAATATCGATCTCTCATCTTCTAGATAACTTTCAATTTCCTCGAGATTTTCGATTTTAATTTTCTTTTTTTGGATCTTACAATTTTTATACTTATCTACACTACCTGTGGTGTTTGATTCAAATTCCTCTGCGCTTTTGCGAATGTTATCGGCCAGACCCAACATTTTCTGCTTATATCATCATCCGTCCAATTATTCTTTTCAAATATTTTAACGTCATTTTTGTCGTCATGTTTATTGCTTTCTGTGATTTGGACCATTTCGAAATTTTTATCTGTTTTGAAACTCAGTTCATTTATTCATAACTCTGGTGCGTGTTCTAGGTACCGGTAAAGATGGTAAGAAACGAGATGGCATTGGTGCGATGTCGACGACTGGTAATGGCTGTGATTCATACGTAAACAACATATGCTGTTGTTGTATAGATAATGTTCTAAAGGATGTACAACATTCTGTTGATGTTGGTTAACAATTTAACATTTGCCGGGTTTCCTTTAAAAACAGAATTTAGCATTTATTATTAAAAGATACTATTCAAATAGACTTTTATAATGCAAATGCATAGAAAAATTATCAATATATGTGACGCTTGCAACGCCACAATTGCATTTGGGACGTATTTCTTAAAAAAAGAGGGATAATTTGTGATTACAATCTTAATTTGAGACAAAATTTGAGACTCGATGTAAAGGACGAAGAATTAAAATTTAGGATTTGTCCCTCCCCCAATTTGGGACGGATGGTCACTAGAGTGTAACGTGTTTCCGTAGGAAACACCCATGGGTTTGGTTTATATTTTTAGATCTAATGGAATATGCCAATCAGATAAAAAAGCTCAATGAGCGCTTAATGAGCGGTCGTGCTTCTGGATGCTGCACCTGTCGTTGCTGGAACGCTCAAAACCGAACACTGTGTAAAGCCCATTCTACATTAGTCGTATCGTAGCATCGTAAGCGTCGTGAGACTTCTGGGCCTTCTACAATAAGCCGTAAGTCACAAATCATAAGTCATAAGCTAGAAATGGACCAATCACAGTCGTCAATTTTTAGTTTCTTACTTCCGATTTATGACTTATGGCTTATTGTAGAAGGCCCAGAAGTCTCACGACGCTTACGATGCTACGATACGACTAATGTAGAATGGGCTTAACACAAGGTTTGTTCGCGTCGCACGCTCCAACATGCTCCAATATGCTCCTACTATAGCTCTTGCTCACTTCAACGAGCACGTTGGAGAGAGTAAGATCTATGATAGGAGCATATTGGAGCATGTTGGTGCGTGCGACGCGAAACAAACTTTTTGTGTCGTAGATGAAAAGTACTCATGTGCTGTTCACTCTGCATCCGATTTTCGTCGTACGACGACTCTGCAACCAATCAGAAAACAAAATTTTGCTTCGTATCGATGATACGATTTTTCTGATTGGTTGCAGATTGCAGAGTCGTCGTACGACGAAAATCGGATGCAGTGTGAATCCAGCATGTGGCTTGGTCGTTTGGAGCGATTCCGAACGCAGCTCCCGAGAGATAAAACGAACAATAATACTAGCAAAAAAAGACATCGCTTTGTCTCGTAAATTCATCATTAAAATTGATCATTTTTAAATTAGGAAATGTGTAATTCACTGGCAATTGCTGGCAATCTCACTCTAGAAAAAAAAAGGAGTAAATGATTTCATTCCTAGAGCCACTTCACCGTCACTTGCCAAATGTGTATTAGGAATTTTTAACCAAGTCAGTTGCTAATACTGCTATATCCCTAGTACAGCAAATGCCGCTTTCTTCATTGTGAATAGGTTATAACAAAAGATTCGAAAAGAAACGTAACCAAATAAAGAGATATTACTCAATATTACTGTTAATGTAGCACGTGCACGGTTTTTTCAAACTATTATCTTTGTGCTCGCTGTACATTTTTTTGTTATTTTTCAACAACACATCAGTTGCTTATGTTCAAAATTTGTAGATTCGATTAATTTCAGGATTAATATAAGAAACACTCGCAAGCATCATGTCAGACAACATCGTTAAGAAGACCAATTCGTCCGAAAGTAAACCAACAATTTTTTAAATCTCATTACAATTTAATTGTCAAAAGTTATTATGAATTTGTTACATTATTTATAAATTTGCGACGACACACACACGTACATACACACAATATGTATAATCGTTATTTTTTTATGTACAGATTATTATATCGACAATTTGGATGACAGCGAATTGCAGGCTCGGCTGTATTCAGAGATCTATTATGAAACGAATATCGAGAATGAATCAAGAACCATGGATAATTCGAACACAATTAAATTCAATAGTATGACCACTGAGGCTAATGTTAAACTAAAACAATCACAATATGAATCTGAGAAACACTCTTTGGAACAACCTTCGACATCCAATACTACTAAAGGTAAATCTAGTAAAATTAGTTAGTCGAAAATGTTAGTAAAACGTCATGATTTAAATGTTTCAAAAAAGAATTTCATTATAGAAATATTATTGATACAATAACATATATATATATATACACACTATTCAGCAGATTCTCAGAAGATGTCCTCTACACATCAATCAGAATTTGTTCAAGTTGAGACTTTGTCGAGTAGAGAAATGAATCCCACATGTGGGTGGTATGACGATAAAAGTCGAAAAGATCCTTCAATCATACAAGGTAAACAAAGAAAAAAAAATTCTCCTAAAAAATATAGATCTTCCAAACATATAAAAACTGTACATAAAAAAAGCTCGGAGAAAGATAATGACACATTTTCGAAGTATAATGTTGTTTCAAAATGCATAAAACAAAAGGCACATTTGTTTTTAGCTGAACAAATGGATAAAGATAAAGACAGTTCTGATTCTGAAGAATCTATACTTGAAGTACCTATTCCACCAAAACCAAAGCCACTACTCATACACTTGCAAGATTCTGATGATGAAAATAACTCAAATTCTGACATAGATAATAATGATTTGATCTTGAAAAATTGGAACAGTGCTTCATTAAAAACATATTCAAGAAAGTCCCTATTTAGAAATGACAAAAGAGAAACTGTACAAGATAATCCTCAAGATATATCCTCCAAAAGTAAGGGTACTGCTACATCAAATAATAAGGATACTGTAAATTTTGGTAAAAGTATCCAAACATCAACACTTACACAAGATTTAACAGAAGATATCACATTGAACTGTACAACAATTCAAAGTAGTACTAAAAGCATAAGTGAAATTAAACAGTTGTCCAAAAATACAGAGGTAAAACAACAAAGTGAATCGACAAAGAGTACAAGTCATAACTCTAAAACAACTTCACCATTTTCAAAAAATACATGGAAAGGAAATAAAAATGCTAATCTTCAGCAAGAAACACATGTGACATCAGAAAAAAAATTGTCTACAACAAAACAAATTATCAACAAATTATCAACAAATAATGTATGTAATAGATATGATCTTAGGGGTGTAGAGCAAAACAAAAGCTCAGCAATAGGATCATGCAATCCAATAAATAATCGAAAGAGACGATGCAACAACGAAGTTGATAATCAATCTGAACAGAAGCGACAATGCATCATTGAACAGAATAATCAAGATGTTATATGCAGCAGTACTGGAGCGAAAAATATATCGAATGAGTTTTTCGAGCCAATGTCAGAAGAAATGAAAAATTATTATAATTTGAGTCGTGGTCAAGAGAACTTTGATATTAGAGAGTTGCAGCAAAGCATGTCGAAGGATCCGCAAATGTGGACAATCCTGGATGAAGATTTAATGCCATGTCCTTCTAGCAGACGTGTTAGATTCTGGAATGTCAAATGCACTAACTGCCACCAGGAAGGCCATCGGCGGTACGATTGTTCATCACCACGTAGACCACCAACTTGTTATATGTGCGGCATGAAGGATCACACTGAGGTTCGATGCCCGCAAAAGATGTGTCTGACATGTGGTAAGCCACAGAACACATTTCGTAACACTTGTGAATATTGTCGCGTTCTTTACTGTACTATGTGTGATTCGGTAGGACACGAGCAAAATCAATGTCCCGATCTTTGGCGACGGTATCATCAGACGACCGACATGAATAGTATGCCGCAGGATCCGGGATTTGTGATGAAACGACTGAGATTGCAATATTGCTGTAACTGTGCTAAGCGTGGTCATGAATCGTCTGCATGCAGAGAACATCGATGGTCTGATAATTTTCCTACTCCAGCTGCCGTCACAAATTATACGGATGGGCCCATGTATCGTCCATCAAGTCCTCATATGTCAAGTTATCCTGAACCTAATACTTCTGATTTTTCATTGTCTGAGACAACACAAAACGAAACATCGATTCCACAAAGTACTATTGATGTACAACAAACAATAACTGAAGACGTGGAATCTTCTGTAGATGTAAACACATTGTCAAATATTGATTTCTATATTTTACCAATTTCACAAGAAGTTGAGCATGTCTCGCAAACGGAAAATGACTTAAAATCTTCTTTTATTTTGCCCACAGTAGAAACAAATTTCAAACACACTAAAGTAAATTATGTAGCATTTTCTAAAATTATATATTCTTATGATTTTTATCGCAATAAAAATGACAATGATGCGCGGATGATCTTGACTACTCTTGATACATTGTTCTCACAAACAGATAAAAATTTTTATATGGTAAAAAATTTAATAAGTCACCGGACTGCTCCAAATTTTCTGGAATTTTTGACGTTGAAGGCGATAAAATTTGAAGTGAAAATAGGCTTTATTCAAAATCAAAAAACTCTATCGCTACAATTAATAGCAATGAAAGATTACATAGAGTATTTGTATGATTTGTTGAAACATTGGCTCAGTCTTCTAGAGGATGAAAAAAAATATGGAATAGACGTGAATCTACCTGTAAATTCTGTAAAGATGTTCAATGTGCTAAAAGGGAAATATCTACAACTGAATAAAATGCGTTTCAACCATTATGCTGATCTAATAGGAGGAAATGATGATCCGCGATTACTTTATACATTTATAAATTTAGAAAAAGACAAATTGAAAGGCTATGAGCAGTGTAAGGTTAGTAGGAGAAAGTATAATAGCACCCGCAAAAAGGTATTTCGTTTGCAAACTAAACTTCTTATAATTACCAATACCGTACCTGAACCAAATGTTTATGTACGTACATTTAAAGACTTGATGGAGAGATACGAAGCAGGACATTGTCAAATGAATGATAAACTAGACACTGCAACTTATCTTAGACTTAATTTGCTTTATAATCAACTTTTTGTACCTCACACATCCCAAAATATAAACAAGATGTTACATTGCATCGAGTCGGAGGCAAAAAAGTTGAGCAATTTACAGCAGCAAGAGTTTGAGATATGTCATGTACCTCTAGAGAAGCAACAGGAGCCAAAAATACATGATACATCAGCAAACGAAGAAAACCTCGTATGTAACTCCACTGTACATACCTCATCCGCGATACCTCACATCTCACTGAATATTGACTCCAAAAATTCTTACGTAATTAATAATCAAAAGAATAACGAGATATTAGATGACGCACAAAATGTAAATACTTCGCTTGAACCAAGCAAAATGATCGATTACGAAGAGTTAACAATAACAATAAAAAATCCTATAGCGCAGAATTCTGATTGTGAGATTATACCGTTAAATGACGCACCTGTGTCACCGGCTAAATCGAAAGAACCTGAATTAAACGAAGGTCAATTATCAACAAGCGAAGTAGTTAACTTCAATGTATCTGAAAATGAACAGATTATAAAAACAGTTTGTAAATCATCAAATTTATCGAAAAAAGCGAAACGAAAAAAAATGAGAGCAGAAAGACTTACAAATATTCATAAATTGAATGATACGTTAAAAAACGAAAATTTGTATGATGTCGCATTAAAACTTATAAACAGAACTCATGCTTTTAAATCACTACATATGAAGAATGCAGCAGATGAAATGCGAAAACGAGTTAAAAATCGGACAATTAAACCTAAGCATCTTCGGTTGTTAGATAAATTGATTTTTGTCGAGGAAAGTCATCAAAAAATCATTAAAAGTGTTTGTAATTCTTTAAAAAAATAAATAGTTTGTAAAAATTAATTACGCGCTCGTTCAGTGATACGATGGTATCACCATCTAACATGTATCCGTATAATATACGAAATTGTTCAGAAGATAATGAGTTTATAAGTGTTTTCCCAATTATAAAATCACTGAACACATGACGATAGTCATGTGTCGATTGTCACAATCGTCACTCGTACAATACTATACATTTGTACTCAGTCTAACATTTAAGACTACTACTCAGCGGTATGAACTTGTATTTTTTGACAATTACATGTTACATATTACTAATCGTGATGACTATAAATGAGATTGGAGAACATTGGGTGGCTGGTATTTTTGTTTTGTTTTTTCATTCAATACAAGTGAAAAACGTTACATTTAATTTAACTATCCCAAACCGTACACAGCGTACACTGTCTGTATCAATTGTTTTGTAAATTCTTGGATATGTTGTGTTAAATATATTAAACAATTGGAAAGTACCCATTGTGTATATTTGGTTATACATATATGAAAAACAATGTTTTGAATGATGCAAAACAAGTATATATTTGTAAGAAAATAGAATATACGCGTTAGAATAAAACTTTTAATATATATTGCAATTATCTTTATATTCTTTTCTCTGTTAATTAACTACAATCCGTTAATTGTTCCAATAATTAATTAGAACAATATTTCAATATATTATATGAGCTTATTATTCTTATAATTATAAAATAAAAATCTATTTTGTAATTCTATATATTTTTTTTTACAAATTATTAAAGAATTCTGCCAGTTTTTTATTTATTCAATTATATTCATTATAATAATGAAGATTACCTTAAAATATTTATTTTGTAACATATTTTATTTTTGTACAAGTTAAATAATATTAAATATGAAAAAAATTATCTCATATTTAAAAAATTAGACATACATCACTATATATAATTAACTTATAATATTTTAACTCTGTTATTAAATGTTTTGCTATTGTATTCGCATTGTCAAACAATCTAAATTATATATTTTAACTAATACTTCAGAACATACTTTTTAAATTACTATTAGAGTAATTCAGTGTTAAATAACAGGTATAAAATAAAATATATTATACAAGAATTTGTGTTACGTTTACTAAGAAAAAATTTTATGGGTCATTTAGATACAAATTAAAGAAAATTTTAGAATGTTTTTAATCATTAGGTTTACAGTTTGTACAGAATTCTTAAATATGTAATTAAATGTGCATAATTTAATGTTAATGACACACATTCTAATAATCACATCCATAATAAAGTTTGGTTTTACTTTAATTAGATCCATCCAACATGATACACAAAAAAATAAGTCTTTATTTAGTCTAATTGTTATTTTTTCATTGGTGGTGGACCAACCATAGGAGGTGGTGGTCCATTCATCGGTGGTCTCATGTGTCCCATAGGGCCTATAGGACCCATCATAGGACCCATTGGCCCCATCGGTCCCATCATAGGTGGTCTCATCCCCATCATAGGAGGTGGCATCGGACCATGTGGTCCCATCATCATCGGGCCTCCTGGTCCCATCGGACCAGCTGGATGCATACCCGGTGGTGGCATCATTCCCGGGGGTCCCTGAGGTGGTACTCCAGATCTCGAGCCAAGATTGGAGCCGAGGTTCGGTGGCGGTGGTATTGCTGCACCTTTGTTGGCCGCAAAAGGATTGGAAGCGATCTTACCGGCCTTGAAAGCAGCCGTTGTTGCATCTATCAAATGCTGGGCCTGCTCCTCCATCCATTTTTGATAGAAATACTTGACGTTATCCTTGTGCTTGCGACCCTGACAATGGGTCTTCCGCACGCTTGGCGAGTCATGTGTCAAATAAGTATCGCAATAGTCACAATAGTATTTCGGCATCGATGCGTGTCTCGTATATTTTTCCAATTTTTCGAATTTTTCTCGATTTATTAAAAGCGTAGGCAACAGAAAGTTTCAGGTTATGTTGTTCTGTCGATAGAGCGGCTTATGACATCACAACAGCTCATTAGGAATTCACTCGTAGTGTAGTCGGTGCTACACAGTTTACACTTCATTCGCGAGTGGCTAGACTGCAATCAAATATGATTGGTTGTTACCTTCGAATCTAACCAATTATATTCAATTGCTTCAACGCACCCTTTATGTCCATTTCTCCACTTATTAATATTAACCGCGGTTTAATTTAGTCTTCATCGTTTTCTGAGCCCTTTTTCTATTAATATAAATTAATGTCGATTTAACTTACTTTTCATCTTTTTCTAGTTTTAAGAATTCAAATGAACATGATCTAGTTTTAAAACTGATTCTTAAAAAAAAGCAAAAGTGTAGGTAAGTTAAACAAAAATTAAAGTTAATACATTAATAGAAAGAAACATACACATAAGTCGTTCGATAAGTGAACGAGTGCAATATTGGAATAAGATATATTATTGAGAATTCACTGCAAAAACTGTAAAAACCGTATCAAACGAGACAGCCAAAGCAGTATAAACAACTATAATGATGCTTATTATAAATACCATATTTTTTATTCCGATTTTATATTAAGCACTGTATTTAATTTAATCTCACATTTCAAATTACCTTAAATTTGATCTCAGAGTTATTAAAATTTTATATCTATTCAAGAAAAAAATGACATATAGCATTCAATTAAGTATCGTACATATCGTAGTTAGGTCGATCTTATAAAGCAATATACTATAATAATAATAATAATACATAGAAATATGCAGATTATTATAGTATTTCATTGTTATTATTTATTATTATATTATTTTATTATTATATTATTATATTTGTTTAATAATATATATATTTTTTGAAAATATTTTAGAATATAACGTAAATTAAAAACTACTTGATATTATACATTAAAAGTTCTGAATCTTTTTTTAAACAAATGTCAAATACGCGAAAAAGGAATAGGGTTTAATATAAATCCTAATTGCGATTGCAATTAGCGAATTATTTTGAATACTTATTAGAGAAAACCAAGATGGAAGATTACAGAAAAATTTAATGGTCTCGAGATTTCACAAAAAAATTAAAAAATTACTTTGAAACTTTAAATTCATAATTAAGATTCCATCCATTATTAAAATAAAAAACTGAATTCTTATAAACCGAATTAAAATGCGACTGTTGCATAGAAACTGGACAATCTATACATGATTATAATAGAGCATAGTGATAGAGCAGTTAATGTACTTACGTATAGTAATCGGTAAATGTTGGATAAATGGTGGTGGAAAGTTACTTGTAAATACATCAGGCTTGAAATCAAATGGTGGCAGTATAGGCTGAGGTAGACGTAACATTTCATAGTTCTCATACTGATTCTGTAATCGGAAACTATTAGAGTTATTCATGTTTTTATGTTCTTTGTTCTTCCTGTTATTCTCCATTTTACTGGATGTTTTTGTCGATTTGGATAGGCAATATAGAATATTATCACATGAACAAAACAAATAATTATGATCTTGTCTTAATTAAAACGCGACGCAACGATGGCACGGTGGATTTAATTACAGAGCGATCGAAATCGCGAAATATTTGGATCCGTTGGTCGGGGTTCTTTATTTTCACACCGGCACGACCGCGACGCGACGATACACACACGATGATCCGTATAGGACACGACTATCAATTCCTAAACAACAATATCGTTAACGAATTAATTTCGAATGATATATGTTATAGGTGCAAGTCTCGCGCACGTATTTTGAATAAGCGCGAAATATTAAATTTTTTTAAACGAATCTGGGGACTTTGTCTTGCATCTGATTGTGAAATTAATTACCACAATTAGATGTGATAGGCAAAATCGACATTAGATCAATGTAATTGTTTTGATATCTTCCGAGTAGCAATATGATCTGATTGATTTTGAATGTTATACGATTATCTTGTTCAAATATTTTGGGCTTTCAGAAACTTTGTGGCTCGTTCAATAAAATTTCCAATTTAGTCTATAGATGCTTGTTTGTGGATTTTCTATAGAGTATATAATTCTACCAAACAAAAATAAACAGAATATTTTAAATCAGCATTTAAGATAACTTGAAGAATTTTTTAAGAAACATTTTTAAGACATTTTATTTAATTATAATAGTCGCTAAGAGTAAAATAAAAGCCACTATTTGCTGATCTTAGTTTTTCTCATCGATAAAATATAATCATAATGAGAGTTATATAAAGAGATTATTATTAAAAAAGAATTTGTTAAATTAAATTACCATTATTTGTACTTTTATAAGTTCAGATTAATATCTATAATATACGAATAGAATTATGAAAAATACACAATTTTTATTATTTCCATTTATTATCAATATTTATTTTCAAAAATTTGAAGGAACATTATTTATCACGACAAGCAAGATGAGCTGTATGGCTCGAAAACTAAATTCGGAGTATTGAAGCTTAAAACATACGCATCGGCATATCATTATAGCAATTCAATTAAAACAATCATAGTGTTACTGTGCATTGGATTCTTATTTATCTATAATTCTGTAAATTTCAAGTCATCGTCGTTTATTATCTTATTTATCTCCTTGCATGAATCGTATTTCAATAGTTGTTACATTTTAAAAAAAAATGCAATATTATGTCTATTTATACTTAAATAACATAATTTTAATGTCGTTTTTTAACTCACACAGGTATACGACACGAAATAAGCTTCGAAGCACACGTGTTACAAATATATTGCAATGCAATATTCGTGACCGCAATATTATTGCGTGGAAATCGCGTGTTACAACAATGCAAAATGTATAAAAAAAAGGCATACAAAATAATCGCATTTGTTTGAATTAAGAATGAATATATAAATAGATAAAAAAATAAGTAGGAATTATTCGCGAGGAAAGCAAACTTCGTTATATCTAAGAGAAACGTTCATAGTGCACTTCATCTGACGACGGCGTAGTGTGGAGTCGGTTTGTTCACCGTTCCCCAGAAAAGAATCAGTTTCGTGGGGTCGTGCCTGATGAAAAATATGAAAGGCCGGTTGGCAACCAGCTTCTTCTGATTACCATCTCGGCGCAAAGCCACCGCAGTCGTTGCGGCGGCCTCCGTCCCCTTCTCCGTTACATCCATCTCTACTTTATGCAACACCTCGTCGGCATACAGGCCCGGATTCACGAGATTCGCGCTGTTTCGCAGAATATCTAGACCGTAAAAGGGGAAATTTTGAGTTTGCATGAATCTCAGGAAGTTCTGATCTATGGGTCGGCTTTGCCGTCTCCTTCTGCTTTTCTTCTCGGCATTTTTGAAACGATATTTGTTTTCTTCCAAGCCCACGTATTTCGTATTCACATCGCCAATCTTTGACGCGATATTTTCAAGATCTTCGTTCTCCATAACGTATGTCGCATGAGATGACTTCGTGTTGTTACGTCCTCTTTCGTTCTTAGCGTCGCGACGTGTTCTATCAGTCTTACGGATAGTGAAACCATTGTCCCATTGTTCTACATTGACACCGTGTTTCTTATCGTTGTACACAAAGTAATTCCTTTTTGCCTCCTGATGAGTATTATTATTCCCAAATCGCGAGAAAATCAAAATCTGATCGGTCTTCAGTGATTGCCCGGAAGGGATTTGCCGTGACACTTGTGATGACGCTTGTGGAATCGATGTAGCAAGTGGTTGTGGAACTGGCGCAGCCAGGGGAATTGATGTAGATAATGGTTGTGGCATCGACTCAAATGATTGTGGAACTGGTACAGCTTGTCCTTGCGGAATCCATGTGGCCAATGGTTGTGGAATCGGAACGGCTTGTACTTGTGGAATCGCTGCAGCCTGTGCTTGCGGAATCGCTGCAGTCTGTACTTGCGGAATTGCTGCAGCCTGTGCTTGCGGAATCGGTACGATTGGTGCTTGTGGCGCTTGACCGTATCCGTTTGACAAGAGGCTTAAATCCGCAGTTTTTGGATTGAACAATGAATGTAGACCTAGACTTTCAAGTGCTTGGTTCAAATTCAATTTGCTCGAAAGTTTCATACGGGGAAAACCGATGACACATGTCTCGTTCTTCGTATTGTTTATTAGATACTCAATAGTATCGACTGTCAGTTGGTTCTGGAAATTCTTCAATGCGGCGGCTCCTTCATCTTTCGGCAGAAGTACATACATAGACATCTGAAAATACCAGGAACAAATCCTCATATGATTTATTACTTAAAAGATGAAATTTCCAAAGGCAAAATATTTCATTTCTATATTTGAAAGATTTTGAGAGAGATATATTAAATTTTGTCTCATTATTTAATTAAAAAACAACAAGGCGATTAATATTTTTGTATGTTTACCTCTAAACCTTTATAAGGTAGAGCCAATATTTTAACGCCCAACGATTTGTCCTCGTAGAAGGGAAAATGACCACCGTTATACATCATATCTACTTCGATTGAGTTATTCGGCTCGATGAAGAATGGTTTCCTGAAATAAAAAAATATTATTAATTATTTAAAGAATAAGAATAAAGACAGTTTTTGTTATTTGGTTCAAATAAATAGCAAAACGTACCTCCGTGTCATACCTTCCAAGAAATGTTGATTCCATTCTCCTTTGAAATACAGTGCTGATAAAAGAATCACAGTTGTCAATGGATGTGGCGTGTCATTCAATATACTATCAATTTTATCCATTGTTCTTTTTTTCACCCATGCGTTGATTATGTCTCGCGCTTCTTTGGCTTTTGTGTGAAAATCTACATTTATCACTTCGCTATTATACGCATTCTCGCTGATCGCGCGGAATTCTGATCGAATCGGATATCCTTGCTAGAATGGGAATTAAAAAAATCTATTAAAAGAAATTCATTTAGCTGTTAAATAAAGAAAAATATTTTGATCTGTTTACATCCTTCAAGTTCAATCCGCGAATTCCATTTTTAATAATTTTTATAATTTAACGAGAGAGATTGTCAATTTTAATATATTCTTTCGTGAAAAATTTCGTCACATGCAGTTAACTTAATTTGTTTCGATATTTTGTTACGCTTTTTGTTACAATTAGCAAAATATTCTATAATATATAAATAATCAAAGTATTAAATTTACCTGGACAAAGATACCACTGGCAGAACTCACGCGCGGCATATTGCTATTCTCAACTCTGTAATTCATGATGGCCAGGAGCTGACCAAACATTTGATGAACAATTTCTGAATGTTGAGATATATCGACACCGGTCTCTAAGCCAAGTATCCGGGTAACTTCGTCGAAGGTCTTGCCGGCGGAACCCAATAAGACTAATGACAACGCGACAGATACACTGAGCGGAGAAAAAATCACGTTCTCGTGATTATTAGTTGTTAAAGTGCCAGAGCTTTTATCAATCGCTCTATCCAAGTCCAGAGCAAACTTTGTGATACCCCTCGATACGATATTGTTTACCTGAAATCAATAGTTTTAAGTTTTAATAAAACGATTATGTATTTCATAGTAGATACAAATATCGTTGATATAATTGACAAGATATATTATATGTTTATACATTGTTAATTTTTATTAATTTTCTTTTTCTCACGATTATTTTTTAAAGATAATAAAGTTTAAATTTGCTCACGAATTTTTTTAGAATATCAAATTTTATACAATCTGATTTTTGAATTTTCATATCTTATTGACTCAAAGTATGAAGAACACGAACTGATTAATTTTTGTAGGATAACGAAATTTGTATAATGAATATATCTGTATTAAATATATATTTGTAACATTGAGAATGACCCGATCGCAGTCAAAATAGCTACATATTATTATTTGAATTAAAGGTTTGGTTTTGTTATATTATCGGCTCATCTCTTTGCCCCTTTTTATTTGATTTATTTTTAGAATACTTCAAATCAAACCATGAAGGTGATATGAGATACAAAAAGTTGAAAAGAATTCATGAGAGATTTAATAACCATGATTGCGTGTGCAAATAGCAATAATTTACATGATTGCGCCAAGCTTCCGACGTAGATTGCGGACTGGCTGTCAGTACAGTACTCGTCGACGAATACAAGGGTACGCGTGCGGTCGTAGAATAAAATTCTCCTGTCGGCTTCGATTGGACAGCGGATCCTGGATTGAATTGTTGATTCATTTGAACAGGTTGACTACTGCTGTCCGCTTGGTAATTAGCGGATAATGCCGAGGCACGACCGAAGCTAGTCATCCTATTGTACTGATCCGGATAAATGACCTGGCCATTAGCCAACGCCAGAAAACCCAACAACAGTCGCATTCGCGTCATACTTTCGAGTATCTGCAAAAAACACATTTATTATATTTATTTTGGAAAAAAAGGTTATTCAAAGATATTTAAACTATGCTTTTTTTTTTCGTGTTTCTATTCATCTTTCTCTTTTTTCAGTTTTTTTCAATTATAGATTGAAATAATTTGTAATAATTTTGTAATCAGATATTTATAGAGGTCACGTATATGGGCATTTATTTCCCGAAAAAGAGATTGCGGAATTACAGTTACTGGTTTGTGACCATGAATATGAATTCGGCATTTGTTTCAAATAGTGAATAGCGAAGTCTCGTAAACATAATAACGTCTAATGTACTTCATATAATTACTCGCCATGTGCGTGTATAAACGAGCGACGAACCGTTCCGAGAAACATACAATTTCACTCGCAGGCGCGATAACAATGCATTCCGCATCATTGATGCATATCACCAGAAATTATGATACATTTATGTCGATAATAATCCATAATATACAAAAATATTTTACACGCTACGTCATATAAAATGTGTTTCTAAGCGATATTAATTTGAAATAACGCAATCAATTGTGTCAGGCGCATCTAGTAATTACATAGATAGTTGAGATAAGTAGTCAGGAAGCAATTTGATAGAAATATCTGCATGGAGGAAATATGCAGCGCAAAATAAAAATTCTCACTGGATGCGTAGTATCTACAATTATACTGATAAGCAAATTTTCTATTAATTAATTTATAACTTAACTTATTTCATTCAATTTATTATTTATGTGTAAACCAGTGAGATACTAACTTTACTTATAAATGTGTTTACTATTAATAATTTTTTAACGCAATTTTCCATTTATTTCTTTAAATATCTTATAGATTAAATTTCGAAATCAATGAAGTAATTATTACTTGAATATTAAAAGCTTAATTGAAGCAAAAGAAGATCCTTTTTAAAGAAGAAAAGCAACATTAAATCGGTCCTAAAATTCAAATTTAAATATTTCGGTAAACCAAAAACATACTCTCTCTCTCTGTACCTATAATTTATGAGATATAATTTTGTGTAACCGCAAAAGGTTTATGTTTAATTTTTTTCAGTGTTCATTACGATAATAGTCCAATCATTAATCATTCATCCAGTGTTCAATGTAAAATTATCTACTCTATTGCTTCTAGTAATTCTAATTACCCAGAAATAACTATGGACACATGTAACATTGACTGTTGTATGTTGTATGCATTCAATTTTTATTAAAAAAATGCTGAATATAATTTGCTTGAACTTGTTATAAGTTGAATATTATCAATACATGAACTTAGAAAATAATTTACAAAAATATTTTTAAAAATTAGATAATATATTATACAAATAGAGAAAGTTCAAATATATAATAAAAATATATTATTGAAAACTAAATCAATTTTAAAAAACAAAATTTTTTTAATTTTTATGCCTAAAAAATATACATCTTTTTATTACGATATTCTATAGCGTATTTATCTTTGAGTATTTTTTTTAACTAAGGTGCTTTTATGCCTGGAATCTACAATGAATCAATGTCAACCATTAGTGAACTTACAATACTTCTCTTGTATTAACACAAGGCAAATCTTGTAGATGTACACCGGGAATAGCAATGTCTTTGAGTGCGTCGAATAATACTTGCTTGTCGTCTGAAAGAGACGTGAACATCACGTATGATGCCGTCGGAAATTCCCAAGGGAGTGGCTGACACGTTTAATAGATTAGGGCTTTTAGCTGCATATAAACAATACTTTAATATCTTTTCAAATTATTTTCTAAAAATGTCTTCTACACATTTGCCGACAGAGAATAAATGTTTTTTAAACTTATTCTTATATTAACTTTTTTCTGTTTACTTTGATAAATATTACAAGTGTCCGAAATTCGAATGAATTTTAGAGAACATTTAAATAATATTTTAAAGAAAAGTCTTGTCAAGAATGTAATGTGGATTTTCCCTTTTAGATACGGATTTCCTACATTCGTACATCCGTCCGTAGGAAATCCGTATTTAAAAGGAAGAGAAAAGTTGTTGATTTCCTGTACACACACATTTTATGCGCGCGCGCGATAAAATATAAGAAAAGTCAATTTCTATGACACGTCTCAAAACGGATTTTCTATCGAGTACTATATATGCTGACGCATATAATTTACATTGAACAGTGACGTTTCTGATAGTTGGAATTCCCGCTTCAAAGTCAAACAACTAGCTATTTTCACAATTACGGTCGATTGAGCTAGTTTTTTCATGCTTATCTGTTAATGATGCATGTTAATGTTTATACATATATAATATTTCCTATCATGCAAAGATGTATTGTCAGATGACATTTGACACGTTTCATATTCTGAAACGTTTCAAATTTCTTCATTAATATCGTTCTAAAAATATCGTAATAGAATGTTGTTATATTTATTTTAATATATGTAAAATTCAATTCACCAAATATAATACTAATTATTTTCAATTCTTATAAAGACGACAAATTAATTAATGCATTTATTTCACAAATTAAAAACAAACGAAATCTAATTAAATTAAATTTATTTTTTTCGATAATTTTTTATAAGATCATTAAAATTTCTTATTAATAATCATTAGGTGTACATCAATTAATAATCTTAATTAAAAAGTTACTTTAATTAATCAGAATGTTTATAATTATAAATATATATATTAATTTCCTAACATTATTTTATAAAATAAAATTTAAAAAATTATTTTATACTATATAAATATAAGAGATTTAAATAATTGAATATTTTTAATTGAAAACTAGCTTTCTTATTAAGTACATAACATTTATGTTTTTCGATTGCTCCATTTCATATTACATTTATTAAAGGAAAAAACACCCACTTATTTACCAAAAGCTTCTTCTAGGCAGGATTTGATCCTGAAGGCCACATGTGAAAGTAAAATCATTGCACGAATAGCTTATAGTCATATATAGCTTTTTTCGTATCTTCCTTGATTTATGTGACACGATAAGTAATATTTCTTATGAAGAAATACTAGCATATTTTATTCTTAAGTGGAACACTTTTCAGTAATTTATTGTCAATATAATTATATTAGTAATTATAAAAAAAAAAAATTAAAATACGTTAAGTATCTTAGTAATGAAATCTTTGTGTGAAAGAATAACATGTATGTTTAATTATTAGTCGATAATAATTAATAATTAAGAGAAATAAGAAATAATATATTACATCAATTTATCTTAGAAAAGAGTACTGTTCTAAAATCGTTAATGTTCATGAAAGAACTTATAACATTCATTATTAAAATTTGCAAATTATTATACTTTTGTAAACTGCAATAATTTTATTGCATTTTATTTATTCCTATTATTGTCTCTATATCAATATCAACAATTGAAAATTATTTTAGAAGGGATATTACTTCAGCATCCTTATTTTTTTACAATTACACATAAGTTATATATGTATAAAGTATCGTATTTGATGTCTCACTATCGTGTTTATATCAGCAATTAAAATTTTCTCTGCATATAAACGTGCCGATGTAAAAAGCGTAAAAAAGAATCTACTATAATATTTTTCGACAGTGCAATTTTTTTTAAGCCAATCGAAATCCGAATAAGTGCTACAATTAACACCAACCTGAGAGAGGGAATACGAGGAGAGAAAGCACAGGACAATATTCGTGAAGTTTTCGAAGCTTAGTGGGATCGTCTCGATCGATTTACTTCGACGCTACGCTTTCGGTGTATCTTGGATATATAGGTCAAGTTCAATATCACTTAATCTTGTAGAATCGCACGATTCCGATGTCTCTTATGTCTTGACGCGATTGTGTCGAATGGGCATGTATCGTGTGGGCACAATCTTCGGAAACGATGCTCTCCAGCCGAGAGCAGATCCCGCACTCGCTGTGGGGAACACGCGGATACTAACGGGGCACAGGTTCGCCGATCTCTTTTATTGTTAGCCGAACCGACGATGATGTGATGACGACGATGAAGAGCGCGGTGAGACGTTAGCGGGGAGAGACGCTATAAAGAGTGGCATGTACCCACGCATAACTGAACGCAGACACTGACATTGACTCACCGTTTGCGCTTTATTCTTGGTGTGCACAATGCTTTCTTCTCTCGGCGCATCTGCTTGATACCGCGAAGAAGAAACGATTAAACAATTGCTGATGAAAATATATATTAAAATAAAAATATTTGGATGGTACATGAATGTTAAGCGGTTCAATAACATTCGTACTTGTTCTGGATAATGCTCGATCTACTTTGAGCTTATGCAGGCACCCTGGTGAAGACACAATGAGGGCATCGGAGGAATCATTTATCATTGGACGATTGCGTGTATATTTTATGAGAAAACAATTTTCCTGTGTGCAAACGATGTCAAACGCTATAGGTATATATTATAATATCGTAGTAGCGATAACACGGCAAATAAATTGCGCAGAGACGTGCGACGATAAAGAAATGAGTATCGATTAACAGAGGAAAAGTATGATAAAGCTCCATAGATAATTATTACGTCACAGAAAATTGCAATAAATTATCGCCGCGTAATGTCGCTTATCAATTACACTCCATGTGCGTATGTGTGTATCTGTATTACACTACTTTCAGAATTCAGGGTAAAACTTGTTATATGACTTACACTATTCCGAAGATACATCATTTTTATGAATCACACTGTTGTATTATTTATTTTGTGCACATCACGCCTCGTTTAATAAATGTATATCGCGCGGTGCGTCAAAAACGTAATTCCCGTCCGGTGTGTTTGAAGTTCTGCATCAGCGGACTTTTTGTTCTTACTTCCGCTGATTGTGAACGTCATTGACAATTCACAAAATTTATCTTTTGTTGGGAATGAATCAAACGATTTAAAAAAAAACCACAGATAATGTATTTTGTATAATATGGAGTCAGAAAGAAATTAAAACTTTCATCAGTGTAACCATTAATTCTAAAAATCAATTTAGTGGTGTAAAATATTAATCTCTCTCTATTATAAAAATTATAATATTATATTTAAATACAAAATTTTATATTATAAATATCGAGAAGATGATGCCTTTTCGGAATTTTTTTAAGAATCAATATTCAAAAGTGTAACTACTTAATCTTTTTCTCTTATCTTTTTATATTAAAAAGTGTAAGAAAACTTATTTTCTGAATTTATATTTTTTTATTTGTGTAGCTATGATATAAATAATTATGATATAATCAGAGCTGGATATGTATTTAAAATACTTTTATTTAAAACACAGTTTTTACAATAAAAGTAGATTTTATATTTCAATGGTGTATATGAAAGTATTACGTATTTTGTATTTAAAATTGAAAGGTTGAAAGCTTTATGTATTTCGTAATTTAAATAATGACATTAATCGTCAATCTTAGTATTTAAAATATAAAATATTTTCAATCTTTTATTATTAGTATTGAGAGAAATACAAAATATAAAATATTTTTATATACTTTCATAATAAAATATAGAATGCAAAATATTTTAAATACGTGCCCAGCCCTGGATATAATCTATATGTGTAATATAATGTAAAAATTGTTTACAAAAGGATAACGTAAGATGCGCAATTAAAGAAGTTATGTATAAATATCTTTTATCACAAAAAACCAACTGCATCCTAAGCAGACCGCAATGTCCAAAATTTCCGGTGCGATAAAAATCGTTCTGGGAGTTCATCAATTGTCCATTTTTGTTGATTTTTCATTAAAAAGAGTTTATTAAAATATATAAATGTTTTACTAAAAAGAAATAAAACTAAAAAATGCAAAATATTTTTCAAAAAATTATATATAATATTTTATTCTTATTATTAATGCCTGTTAATACGAAAATGTATTGGTAGTTGATAATAATTAACAAAAATTTACAAAAATTAATAATCATATAAAATTTTTATATATGAAAAAATAAGCTTTTTAAATATATTAAGTATGTATTGAGGAGCAGACTCTTAAGTGTTTTACTCAAAATTTATGATTTTCAGAAAACGAAAGAGAAACCATGCATCTCATAGAAAATAATAATTTGCCAGTCAAAGATGTAAAATTGTTAAACAAAATTGTTAAATTATTTCTAATAATGTTAAATAAATTTTGATTGTCTTTAGTTAAAGAAGACATAACATTTCGAAAGTCAAAACCTTTTTCGACATATAAATTGATAAAAGAATATTTTCAGAACATTGTAGTGTAAAATAGTTTAAGATATGAGTCTTTTAACACTAAAGACTATGCCATTTATAACTTATAAAATAAAATTTTGGACGAAATGCGTTTTGAAAGTTTTCTCCTCAGTTAACTAACTATAAATATTACAGTTGAATTTCTCCACTTTAAAATCTCTCTTCACAAACTCCGTTCTCATTTTAATGACATATGCGAATGAGAAAATGTATAGACTGTTGGATCTTCGCTAACTTAAATAGCAATGAATAGCATTAAGAATACAAATATTGGGAGAAAATCCTAAATCAGAGAAAAAAACCGATTTCGAGAAGATCTGGGGGAGTCAATTATTATGTATTTTAAAATTGAGATAAAAATTATAAAAGTGAGTAAAATTATTGAAATATTATTTCGTTGATACCTATTAAATTTACTAACTTTTGTTATTTTTATGTCGGCTGCGTTCGATTTGGACACTTTAGCGCTTCTATTGTTTTATGTAACTAAATTTAGCGTAACTAATGATAAAGACAGAATATGATTACAAAAGCGCAAAAACATGTGAGTATCGAACTTATAATTCTATTTACATTATAATTAGAGATCAGAGAACCATATCAAGAGATGAGAAAGCTGTATTCTTGAAAAATAGCGCATACGAAAATACATAATAACGAAATATGAAAATACTATAGTGTATATATATGTTACATGTATTATATCCCATGTATTATATATTAAGGAGAACGAGATAATCAAAATAATGTCAATATAACGTCAAATTGACATTATTTTGATTGTTTCGTTTTCCTTGGAGAGAATTTATAGATTTACCTAATAGAATTTTTGTATGCAATTTTTCAAGAATAAGCATTTATATACTGGTTGTAACCATATGCGGTATGTCGACATCTGTAAGAATTGATTCGCACAGTTGAGTATTATTCAATTCTTACAATTTATATCTTTTGCCATCTTATTGTAGAACAGGCATATAAAATTGTTATGGGAAAGTACATGATAAACTTAAAAGATTTTGATTGATTGTATAATTTTTTTGAGATTTTTTGTTTTCGAAATTTTGACTGTCATAAGAAAGTATCCTAAAGTTCTAGGGGTTTCAGCAAGCACGGTAAATAAAGCGTCGTGTATGTGCAGATGAAGAGTAAAGATATGTATGATTCATGATTCCTAATCGCACGTATATCTCGATTATCAATTGCATCCGCGTAAGAAAACAGGAAAAAATATTGAAGGAAATCATAAAATCGAAATCATCGTCAACCGGAGGTTGATCGCGGAAAAGCGAGATAAGATAACGAGTCGTTATCCTAATTTGACCAGATCAAGACCCGACAAACGAATCAAACGAATGGCGCCAGCATCTCGAATTTTCTGAACCAATCGGAAAACGATGTCCAATTAAAAATCGTGCACCGCAAATGCACGCAGGCGCGCGAGTGGTGCCACTACTGCTACTGCGCTATATATATTCCCGCCAACATGGCAAATATGTCGGCGCTTGTGTCGTTTCCCGCCAATCCTTTACAGCACAACCCTGTTGGAGTGCGACGAAGTTTTTGTATGGCGTTGTAAAGAGTGTTTTTCTTCGTAGTATTTCGTCTGATCTTTTGTCTAGCTGGATCGCGGCGTGAAAAGATGGGGCAATCGGATGATATTGAGGACTCGATGTACAGCCGGCACCAAGATCTTTGCCAAAAGCTGAATATGGACGCGACCGCCGCATCCGAGGCTTGGAAATCCTACGAGACTATTCGGCAGAATTATACTCTCGAGGTAACACTTATCTTTCGATAGCGCAGCCGTTCCGACAGCTAGTACGATATTGCTTTGTATAAGACATCGAGGACGATGTCCTGATGCATGATGTCGTTCTTGAATCGCCGATCATTCTTGCGAGACAATCGGGCAACGTTTGAGCGTTCATTCACCTTGCGACCGATTATTCAAAGCACAAGTTATTTAGTTCGTTAATCACAAAAGGATCGCGTCGTAGAAATTGTCGATTGATTTTATTTTTGCCATGTATATAAATGCGTATATATTTTTATTTACAGTTTGACAATCTTTTTCCTTGTGTTGTTTTATTTTATAGCATTTCTCTCCTATTAATATTTTAACATATTTAATATAGATGTATGATTATTTGTTCAAAAGGATATTTAATATATGTATTTACAGGGTGACCAGTTGCATTGGATAGGATGTGCAGTTTATGTCGCTTGTAGAAAATTCTCTATACCCACAGTAGGAAGACCAGGTACTAATGTGGAAGGCAATTGTGTGTCATTGACCCGTCTTTTGCAACTGTGTAATCTTCCACTGATACAATTCTTCACAAAGAGCAAGTCATGGGCAGATATGGCAAATATGCCACAAGACTTTCGAGCTAGAATAGAAAAGCTAGAAGCTAATTTCTCGGTATCTATGGTTATATTTAAGAAATATCAGCCCATATTTGCGGATATATTTAAAGATCCTCGAGAAGATATCTCGAAACCACATAGATCCAGAAGGCACAAAGCAGTGCCCTGTACACCCACTAGAGTCTTTGAATTTTGTTGGACATTGTTTATATGCATAAAAGGTGCAATTCACGATATCTCTGATGATCTTGTTAACTCTTATCATCTCCTACTAGTCTGCTGCGATCTTATATATAGCAATGCTCTATTATCTAACAGAAAAGAATTGTTCAATCCAAATTTTCCTGGTGAGTGCTTCAGAATTTGTCTTAAAGTGGATATATCATGATTCAATAAGAACAATTTTATCTCATATTTTCTAAATTACAGGCTTACCAACAAATTTTAATGATGAAAATTATAACCAGCCACAAACAGCAAATTGCATTGTTAATTTGCTGTGCGAGCGTCATGATGCAATAGCTGTTGAGGCTAAAGTAATAAAAGAATACTGCATGAAGAATTACATTAACAAACTATTTAATGAGAAAATTTTACGTGGTGATCAGTCAAATTTCTCTGGTATGCTAGAGGCATTGAATTTTGATGGTAACAACAAGGCCATTAATAAATCTTATGAACAGCGTATGCTAAGTGTTGGAGACTTTGATGAGAGAATTTTCTTAGGTATGCAAATTATTTATAATTAAATTAAGGTCTTTGCTCTATGTATAGTAATTAGTACTGATGCAAGAACAAAATAACACATTGCTATAAGTGCTTATGTTCTAGTCTTGCATGTTCTCTACTGGCTTCTTTTGCTTCTGTAAATTGTCTACGTGATTTGATAAGCAAGAATGTATATGCTGCACCATTACTACTTGTTTGCAACTTAGGTTGTGTTTTAAGAGCGTCAGCACTATTGTGTCCAATGTATCAGTAGGTCTATTTTCTGTAACTGAACTAGAATACACTTGAAACTTAATGTGAGATAGGAATATGTTTGATATTTGTCAAAAACAAGAAAGAGTTCTAGTGCAGTTTCGTGTAGAAACAGAAAACAGACTATTTATTGTTTATTTAGCACAGAAAAACAAAACAATAGAATGACATAATGACACTGATAGTGCACTTCCCAGATGCAACCTGTAAGTAATTTGAATCTAATAACAAATTTGGGTGGATCAATGTGCACTTAGTCCAATTAAAGTTGATACGAATAAAAGTTTAATACACATTAATCATTTAACATTTTATTATTTATTTTATATATATGTATGAAACTTTATTTATTATTTGTAACATACATACATAAAATAAATATTATATAATATACATGTAATATATGTATAGAACACAATAAAGATATCGGAACTTGTAAATTATAGATGAAAAAAGAAAAGCCAAAAAAGAAGATATAGTATTTTTAGCGACCTGTTTAGTTTAAGTTTATTTTACTTTTTTTCTTAATAAATTTGTATATTTGCTTTATTGTGATTGCTTTGTAGCGGAATGGAGGAGAATAATTTTGAACAATATATCAATTTCAAATATATTTATGCAAAACGATGCTAAGCATGGCGAATTTATTAAATATGAAATTTTACAAGGTGGGTTTTGTGCAAATGCTTCCGTTTTGTAAATGATCGAACTAATTTCTACTAATCATATGTTTTCTCAAACAAAATTAGCCTATGTGCTTATTATTTTTTAGATTACAAGTAGAAATTTTTATGATTATGTGATTTTTTTGTTTCAGGCCATAACGCTAATGAAAATATTGGATCCCCTACGCAAATGATGAACATTGAAGATTTTCATGAAAGATTACAAATGCAGAGGGAACAGCATGCTGGGGTAAGTTTCAAGGATATTTATTTTTATTTAGTTATAGTAGTGTAAATGCAACACCTGAAAACGCTGAGCTGCACACCGCACATGCACTCATCCATGCACCCTCTAATCAAGTTCTTTAGTATAGTAGTGTAATCATTTGTTATGTGTAAGTTATAACTGTTTATTTTTCCTAGCAGATACAATATCTGGCACCTCCCACGCCATTAACTGGACGTAAATATCTCCGATCGAAGGATATGTCCAATACAACACCAGTGACTACGGCCACTCAAAGTGTTATTAAGTTACAAGCTTTGATAGCTGGACAATCTGCTCCAAGCGAAAGTTTGTTACAAATACTGAACAATTGTTCTCAGGATGTTAAGTCTTCACTCGAGGCAAAAGTTAAACAGATTGGTGAGCAATTTTGTGCAAACTATAATAGTAATGCAAATATTGCCAACACGAACGACGGTTCAGCATCTGACTTTGGAAAAAACCGTCTTCGCATGGGACGAACCTTGTTTTACAAGCTTTTAGAAATGATTCTAAACGACGAGAAACGTAAAAAACCGAATGATGATATAACTGTAAGTTCATACAAATGAAGATAATTATAGACTGAAAAATCATTGAAGCACAGCATATTCATATAATAATTATTTGTTACAGAATCTTCTTTTGAATGCAGTTTTTATCCAATGCCTTTTTGCCTGCTGTTTGGAGATAGTTATATATTCATACAAAAGTAACGATAAAGTATTTCCTTGGATACTGAAAGCTCTGAATCTGGATGCTTACTATTTCTATAAGGTTATAGAAATTATAGTAAGAGCTGAGGATCAGTTGTCGCGGGATATTGTTAAGCACTTGAATCATATTGAGGAGAAGATTTTGGAGTCTCTAGCATGGCAAAGTGACAGTCCTTTGTGGCAAACTATTGAGTCTTTGGTAGATGGTGTGCCGAGCTGTGAGGAAGTTTCTTTGCCTGGCACATTGGAAACTGCTGACCCAAACGCGCCTGGTCAACCTGTTTTAAGACGGATTGCTTTGGATCGGGAACGTACTCAACATGATGTTCAACAAAGTCCGATTTCGTCCGCTTCGGAAAGGTATAATTTAACCATCCAGTGTTTAACCAAAAAAAAAAAAACAAAAATGGTATTATACTTATCGATTCTTTTAGAAACTAAGAGATTAGAAAAATTATTTTAATAAATTTTAATGGAAAGAGAAAAAAGATATAAGATTTATAAGAGAGAATATAATTGTGTGATTTTACAATTCACATATACCAATTTTAATATAACGTAATAATAATAATACTAATATAGATATTATTTTTTTTTCCAAATCATAATCTAACAATTTGAAAAATTAATTAAGTATTTTTCTCATTAAATATTTCTTTTTTTTTATAAAGAATAATATATATTGTATTATATATTTAGATTTCAATCTCCTGTCGCAGCATCTGGTGTAGCAAAGAAGCGATTATTCTCCGAAACTAGGGTTACCGGTCAAAGTGTTCTTCGTGTCGGACAGAGTGTATTATCCACTAACAGAATGTTAGTGGATAATGGTCAAAGAATACTTCTGGTTCCCGAACAAATTGTCGTTTCTAGACCATCAAGTACGCAAGCAATAAATAATTCCACACAATCAACGAACAGAGACGCGGCTAAACCGAAGAGAACAGGCTCTGTCGCTCTGTTCTTCCGAAAGTTCTACAATCTTGCATGCGTACGCATGCAAGATTTGTGCAATTCATTGGAAATATCCGACAACGATAAGAAAAAGATCTGGACGATTTTCGAATATTCTGTCAAGGAACGTACCAAATTGATGAAGGATCGGCATCTCGATCAGATCTTAATGTGTGCAATTTATGTAATATGTAAACTGGTTAGGATAGAAAGAAATTCATTCACTGAAATTATGCGATGTTATCGTTTACAGCCGCAGGCTGAATCACATATATATAGATCAGTGCTTATCGAAAGAGCTTCTAATGACAGAGATTCGAGGACGAATAGTAACGAAAGATCAGAAGATAATAATATGTCAGTAGCGGAAAATGTAACTCCACCTACACCAACAAATATGGCCGGAACATCGCAAAACTTCGATGGAGACATACGCGGCGATCTAATTAAGTTTTATAATACGTTGTATGTCCCACAAGTCAAGGAATTTGCAAACAAATTTGGATCGGCTCGCGGTAGTGTCATGAATCTCTCGCTGAGTCCTTTACCGAAAGGAAAGGCACCTGCTAATTCTCCAATAAGACGTGTTACTGGTAGTATTATGACACGCACTCTAGATCCGAAGGCTATAAGTGCGTCACCGGCACCGCAATTAAGTTATTGCTTCAGTCGTAGCCCAGCCAAGGTAAAATAGCCAAATTAAAATATAAGTTTTATAACTTGCTTTTCTTTAGTACCCGCCTAAAAGTATTTAAAAAATAACTTTTCTATTTGATTGATGTTTTTCAGGATTTAGAAGCTATCAATAAGATGATGATATGTGTGGACGCAAAAAAGAAGAGTGTAGGAAAACGATTACTTTCTGATGACACAGATGTAGAAATGACAGAAAGTACATCTCCTCCGAAAAAAACTACAACTTTTGTTGCACGGAAATTAGAAAATATTATTGGAGAACGACGAACGCAAAATCAATAAGCGGAATGTGACAAAACGACAACATTAATCATAGTTTATGAGAATGAGAAGAGTGTTCAATTTGCTTTTTATTTGCATAAGAATTGATTTGCAAAAGCGAAGAAATCTACACAAAACAGATGAAAGCCAATCCCTTGGCTATCTAGCATAAATATGAAACGTTCGTTTCTCAGGTATAGTCATTCTAGCAAATTGGAAGGGCCCAATAAATGTATCATTCACATTATATAAGGATGCTATAATGTTTGTAATTTTATTTAGTGCAAAGTCAGAATTCAATTTCCAGTATTCCCTTCTCATTGACTTTTATCTTATCAGAGTAGACTATTTTTTGTTAATTTATACTTTAACAAACTGTCTTTCAAGCTGTATTAAATAAAAGTTATGTAATGTGGATTTTAACTGATAAAACATGCACACTTTCCATTATGTTATCATAAAAACTTTTTAAAATTGATTGAAAACAAATAGTATCAATTTTTAACGTGTCTGCAGTTACACTTTAATCATGATTGTTTCGTAAAATTGTCTACATATAGAGAAAAAATACATGTACATCTATATATATTATAGTAATAATTAGTTTTGTGATAAACTTGTCAGAGATTTTGTAAAAACATCTTATCAATGTTTCTACAAAATTATCAGAAGTTTCGAATTTATATAAGAATATAAAATTATTCAAAAACAATATATTAAAATGGCAATGTGAGCCGACACAAGTTGTTAGTGTATTTTATATACATATAAAGTACACACTAATAACTTGTATCGGCTTACATTGGCATTTTATTACATTGTTTTTGGATTTATTCATATTCAACCTATTGATTATCTTGTTTTTTTTTTTTAAATTATTCATTTTTTTCAATACATCTAACATACGGACTTAAATAGAAAATTGCAAAAAAATACATGGTATTATTGTAACAACAAATTGTAATTCTCTATGAAATAGTTCTAACTTCATTGAAAAATATTTTAATGATAGATTCTTGAAACTTAGAAATTGATTTTCCTCGAATAAAAGTTTGATTATAATTTATCGGAATTATTTACTTTTTGACATTTTATCGCGTTAAAAAATATTGAATAATTCTATTTAAATAAAGTTAATTATGCAGAGTACCGTTTTGTTATTTATTCACATTTCCAAAAAATTTAAACTCCATTAAAAACCTTTTAATTGTTTTTTATTTCATTGAAAAAAATATTAAAATAATCATTGGTCCTTTTTATAGTATCTATCGTTAAAATATCCAGTTGCGATGGATATACATATATTTTGAATTTGTAAAATAAGTTGAATAAAAAATATATTAATGATACATAGAAAACTCTTGTTTCTGATTGTTATGATCAGCTCATTATTTGCATTATATTTTGTAAAAGTAAACCTAGTCAATATTTGTGAAGTATTTGGTATTTACATCTTTCACACTGGAAATTGATCTGACTATTTCAATTGCGTATATTATGATTTATCGATAAAATAACATAATTTTATGCATCGCAATCAAAATATATACAAAGTCAACAAAAAATAGTTTGAGTTACGCGCTTAATAAAATCAGTTATTTTATTGATAAACTTGAACTCGTGGCTATATAGCACTGAGTACTCAAAGCAAATATAAATGTCAGTTGAAAGCTGAGAGTAATAATTCGATTTTTATTCTTTGAAAGAAGAATGTTGATCCAAATAAATTCGGGATAAAATCATTATGTATATTCATTATAAGCACATTTTCTGTATTGAGATATTAAATGATTATTTATATCTTTTAAAATTTAGTTTATCGTGAGTTGAAGACTCAAAGTAGATGTAAATATTTCTAAATTCACTATGATCTCATTAATTTGCCATTTATTATCGAATAATGTATAAAATGAAAATTATAAAATAAGTGTTAAAGATAATTATTATATTTATTGCATTGCAAAAGGACTTTGTAACTCGAGCTTTATGTAAATGAATACCGATCACGAGTTGAGAGAGAAAGAAAGAGAATACTGAATACTTTAATAATAATAATAATAATTGAATGATAATTTAATAATAATAATAAATAATTAAATATAAATATTCTCGTTGTGCATGAGATAACTAATGTTGCCTATTTTTACATGTGTTTAGAAATGCACTGGGTCTCTTCGGTTAATTTTTCACATTAATTATAGCGAAATTATTTACGAAAACGCGCTGCTTAATGATTCTTGTTGCTTGCTTTCACTATTGAAATTAATTTATATCGTATTTTTAAAATTTTTTAAGTTGAAAAGAATATGAGATTGCTTCTCTTTATATAGCATAAGGAATTTAAAATGTTATAAGCTCTGTAACTACATGCCATTTTTGAGAACTATGTTTTTTTAATTCATAATAATTCATTTTATTATTCTGTGAATAAAAATATCACGATGTTTATCAAAAAATGAATAGTTTATGAGATATTTGTTATTATGTCAAAATGTGTCAGAATAAAATATAATAAATTTTGCGAACTATTAATTTTTCGATATATCTACCTCAGTACTTACGTATGCAAAATAATTAGGGAAATCAGTTATGTAAAGAAAGACCATTCCATTATAAAAAAAAAAAAAAAAAAAAAAAAAGTGGAAACGATCTCCATGTGATTTTGAAAAGATTTATTTCCCTTAAAATCGTACAACTTTTGTTTGAACATATTTGTGATTCGATGCATAATTTGCAGGGGTAACAGTTCGTAACATTTTAAATCCTTGTAGCTTACATGCACGACTAAAAGCAATTACTAATGTAATTTTCTTTATAAATAAATAATTAAAAAAAAATTATGTTAGTGTACATGAATTATTATCAATAATCATCTGTTGTGTGTATAAAGTGTTGTAATACAGAAATGAATTGGCAATATAATACAAAATTTTGACTTTTTTTTTTACAAAAGTCGCAGTACTATAATTAAAATTTATCAAATATTTCAGAACATAATGTGTATATAAATGTGTGTTTTAAGATTATTCCTACTTAAAACAACTTATTTTACGGTTTTTAACATTAAAAAAATACAGTATATTTCATGAATTAAATATTTATTAATCAAAATCAAATTCGAATTTTATAATAACAATTCTCGTTTACGGTTTGCGTATAAAATATATTACAATATGCATACAAGAGGAAAGTTCTGTATTAAAGATAGGCCTCAAGCCTAGCTCAATGTCATACACGCGAGTGTCTTATTATATACATACACGTACATACATATGTAAAATGTCATATATACATACATATATGTATACATATACGTATATTATATTATATATGATGTATTTACATGGCATAATACATTAAGCTAGAACTGTTTAAACGATACATATATGTAAAATATACAGAATGTTCCAAAAGTCTGTATATTTTAGCGACACATTACGAATTTTATCTATTTCATCAAAATATACAACACCTCATTGGAACATCCTATATTATACAATTCGATTGTTATGACAAACATTGATACAAGTTATACACTGGTGATTTCAGGATTTTATTTACAAAGTATAAAGGAGCGCGCAATAAATGAGAAATTTCTACATTATTACGTATTTTCCAGAGACATTAAATTTCAGTCCATCAATGTAAATAATGTTTCACGATACTGCGTTGGCACAAACCTCAGCTATTTCAATACGCGCAATAATAACTTTTTTCAGTCTATCATATTTATATTATGTACATATGGAACAAATTTGATTTGCCGATAAAATATTGAAATATTATATATTTCGAATAATTATATTTCCAAATATAATGATTCAGCATGACCAATCTCTTTTAATTAAATCTTTTTGATTAAAGTAACAATCATATTTCATAACTTCAATGAAAATATATTTAAAATATTGCAATACTGCATTACTATATATTGCAAACGTATTTACCTTATCCATAGATATTATATCTATACAGTATTATTAATTTATACTACAGTTTCATATAAAAGGAATCTCTTAAATGTTTGAAGAATGGCGTCTTCTTTATTCGAGCCCGTTATATTCGAGAACAATCACACTTGGAATTTTTCTAAAATCCAACATAATCATGTACAACAGATACTATCTCTTATTTGACAAGTCATGACATTTGTGATAATTTACAAGCATTAAAATCGTAATTTACAGTAGCAAAATATATACATGTCATCTTTGCTAATATCTTAAGAAATTGATCTAAAGAAATAACGATTTACTTGAAACTTCACTGTTAAACAATGACTTGGCTCGGCCATTCTGATTTAATCTTCTTTATTTTCCAGCAAAGGAATATTCGAATACTTGGGAAAATCTACAGCATCAACGGGATTTTTAACTTTGAAACTGGGGAATAATCCTGTCATGCTAGTTCTGGTGTTGTAGCCTTTAGAGAAACCATCCCAATGGTTACCAAACACATCGATCAAGTCTCCGACTTTTAACTCTAATTCCCCGTTCTTTCTCGGTTTGTGATCCAAAATAGCAACGTGGGGATGTGGATTTTGTCCTCCGTAATAATATATATCGTCGAGGGATGCAAATCTATCATATGCGTCCGTGTAAAACGTTTGCATTAACTCGTATGCGACGCGACATACTTGAGAACTGAACGTACACACCAAATAATCGCATTCCGACAAAAGATGGATATCGATAATTATTCCCTGCAACGAGGTATCCGAGTATCGTTTCGCTACGGATGCCGTCTCCGCGATTTCTGGATCACCTATTATCTCGTAATTCGGATAACGTTTTCTAGCTGTCGTTATCACTTTCGGATCGTCGCTAGCTAAAAAAACTCTCCTCGCATCCGGTTTGGTTTCAAGTTCATCAAAATATTGTTCAACTTTAACCATGTATTCGTCTATGTCATGATAAGCTGCTTCTGTACCTACTTTATCGGTTCTGCGCACATGAATACCGACGATAGGTTTCTTAAAATTAAGCCTCTCTTTCGCGTTCTCCAGCATTCTCTTTACGTGATCCTGAGGTCTCATCAAGTATTTTAATACTTGTCCTACCCACCAAACTAAAGGATGACCGTGAATCTTCTCTAATCTCGGCGCTAAATCTGCAGGTACACTGGGTGGCTGGAATCTTGGCTTAGGATAAACGTTGTCTACAATTGGTAGAGATATTACTTGTTTAGAGGGATCTCCAGGCCAATTAGAATGTGAAGCACCAGTTGTAGATAAACAAGTGTCGCTAAGAGGT